GTGTTCTGTCCTCCCAGGACGTCACCTTTGACGAGTCGTTGCCTTACTACCGTCTCTTCCCCTACCGCGCTGCGCCCCTTCCCCCATCGCCGCTCTTCCTTATGCCAGTTCCTCCCCCGGAAGACCCCCTCCCCCCTCAGGGTCCTGCCCCGTCAGGTGTGTCCCAGGTAGACGCAGTCGAGCCTATCGAGGTAGCTGTTGACTCTGGTGTTGCTAGAGGTGCTGAGCCTGCGGGTGCCCAGTCTGGAGGTGTTGAGCCTGCGGGTGCTAAGTCTGGGGGTGCTGAGCCTGGGGGTGCTGAGACTGGGGGTGCTGAGCCTGGGGGTGCGGAGCCTGGGGGTGCGGAGCCTTGGGGTGCGGAGCCTGGGGGCGCTGGGTCTGCTCGTGTGGCTGCCAACGGTGCTTCGTCGAGGCGGGAGCCACTCTCTCCGCAGGAGCTGCGCGAGTGGTTTGCCCGGAGCTGGAGCCGTGCTGCTGGAGCAAGAGGCACCACTGTTGTTGCTGGTCTCGGAGGTGCTCGTACTGGCGGTACTAGAGCTGCTGGGACTGGGGGTGCTGATGGAGCTGCTTGAGTTGGTCCTGCTGGAGCTGCTGGCGGTGGTGGAGCTGCTAGCGGTGCTGGAGCTGCCGGTCCTACTGGAGTTGGTACTTCTAGAGCTGCTGGAGCTAGAGCTACTGGGGGTGTTGGCGCTGGTGTTTCTGCTGGCGCTGGTGCGTTTGAGGGTGCTCGAGCTGGCGCTGTTGGAGCTGGAGGTGCTGCTGGCGCTGGTGCTGCTGCTGGGGGTACTGGTTCCGTCCCAGCTGGTTCTGGAGGCGCTACGCGGCCGAGGCCGTACTTCGTTCCACTCCTTGAGCAGGTTCTTGGTCTCCCGCCCTCTACTGGTCCTACTCCTCCCTTAGAGTGTCCACTGCCCGTCCAGTCGCAGTCACAGTTACAGCCCGCCTCCCCTCTACCTGCTCCTTCTCCCTACACTGGTCCTACTGGAGGTCTTGCTGAGCGTCGTGAGCTTGCGTCTCGTCCTGCGTCGCCTGTTCGCACTACTTGCACTAGTCGTTGTGTTCCGCGTCCGCGTCCTCCTGCGGTTCCGGGCACACACCAGATGGCACTGCGTCCTTCCACTGCTCCTCTTCGTGTCCCGTTGCCGTCTCCTCCAGAGTCCTCTCTTCTTGTCCTTCGTGACCCTGAGTCTGACTCTTTTCGTGCTGCCAGTCCTACAGTCACGCGTCTCTTGGCCACTATTGTCACTTACCCTTCCTTTGAGTCCACTGCTGCGTCTGCCTTAGTGGCTGAGCACGGACGTCCTTAAGGATAGGCAGGAGGAGTTCCAGTCTTTTGCTGCTGCTTTGCCTCATCTAGTGTCCACAGTGATTGCCCCTGAGGGAGACCCGGATGCACCAGACATCCCGACTCCTCGATCGTACGCTGAGGCGATCGAGGGTCCCTACTCCTCTCAGTGGTAGTCAGCCATGGACGCAGAGATGGCTTCCTGGAAGTCCACAGGCACCTACGTTGACGAGGTTCCCCCACCTGGGGCGAACATCGTCAGTGGCATGTGGATTTTCAGGGTCAAGCGGCAGCCAGGTTCTGCACCTGTCTTCAAGGCACGTTACGTGGCTCGAGGCTTCAGTCAGCGGCAGGGAGTTGACTACTTTCAGACCTTCTCTCCCACCCCGAAGATGACCACTCTTTGGGTGCTGTTGCACATAGCCGCTCAGCGCGACTACGAGCTTCACTCTCTTGACTTCAGCACAGCTTTCCTGCAGGGCAGCCTGCACGATGAGATCTGGCTGCGCCGCCCACTTGGCTTCACTGGGTCGTTTCCTCCTGGTACCCAGTGGAACCTCCAGCGGCCAGTCTACGGTCTCCGCCAGGCGCCCCGTGAGTGGCACGACACACTTGGGACTACACTTGCGGCTCTTGGGTTTGCTCCTTCTACAGCCGACCCGTCGCTGTTTCTGCGCACCGACACCTCTTTGCCGCCGTTCTACATCCTCGTGTACGTCGATGACTTGGTCTTTGCCACAGCTTACACTGCTTGACTCGCCCACGTGAAGTCCGAGCTGCAGAAGAGACACACGTGCACAGACCTGGGTGAACTGCGCAGCTACCTTGGCTTGCAGATCACCCGGGACAGAGCACAGCGCACCATTACCCTGACTCAGTCACACATGGTGCAGCAGGTCCTTCAGCGCTTCGACTTCACGTACTCCTCGCCTCAGGCCACTCCTCTGTCTACTCGCCACTCGCTCTCAGCTCTGCCTTCGGATGAGTCCGTAGAGTCGAGTGGCACGTACCCAGAGCTTGTTGGCTGCCTCATGTACCTAATGACCTGCACACGACCTGACCTTGCATACCCTCTTAGCATCTTGGCACGCTATGTTGCTCCTGGGAGACACCGACCAGAGCACATGGCTGCAGCGAAGAGGGTGTTGCGCTACGTGCGCAGTATGTCGGGCAGGGGGCTAGTGCTTGGAGGGCGACGTCCAGTGGTCCTCACAGGTCACGCAGACGCTTCTTGGGCTGACGGCCAGCCTACACAGCGGTCGTTACAGGGTTACACCTTCAGCCTTGGCTCCGGCTCTGTTTCGTGGCGGTCTACCTGCTCATCTTCTGTTCTCACCTCCAGCTGTGAGGCTGAGATCTACGCGGGGGCCATGGCTGCACAGGAGCTACGCTGGCTCACCTACCAGCTAACTGACCTAGGAGAGCCGCCTCGTTCTCCTCCAGTTCTGTACGTAGACAACAAGGCCATGCTGGCCTTGTGTCGGGAGCAAAGACTGGAGCACAGAACGAAGCACATTGCTCTCCGCTACTTCCTGGCTCGTGAGCTGCAGCAGCGTGGTCAGCTCCGTCTCACCTACGTGGCCTCTGAGGCCAACACTGCTGATATCTTCATCAAGGCCCTTCCGCCTTGTGATCATCAGCGCTTCTGTACTATGCTAGGTCTTGTACCTACTTGGCCTCACTTGCTCACTTCTTGACCTTGCTTGTACTGTGATCTTTCTATACCTGCACTTGCTTGTTTTCGTATATATATATATATATGTCAGAATGTTATCTTATGTTCTAGCCTGTAGTGGGGTGCTCTATAGCGAGTACAACCTTTCTAGGGTTTGCTATTTGTATCCCCATTTCTGCTAGTTCAACCTCTCTTTCTTTCTTCAAACTTTGTCAATATGATCTTGCATGTGAACTGGCCTTGTGGCCTTGCTCTTGTGCTCGGACTGTGTGGTGACGTTGTGATCCACCCTGAGCTTGCTTTGCTTTGCTTGACTGGTTTTGTGACCCCTTGTTCTCCCCCACTTTGCCTATGGGGGTGTGTCAGGCATATATGCTATAGTTTGTGTAGGTTGTAGTGGGGCAGTTCATATGGGGTACAACACATTAGGGTTTAGTACTTGTACTCCTCATTCTGCTCAATGCATTCATTCCTCGTTTCTTGTCACATCAACCCTACTAGGAGTTTATTTCTGCGAAGATCCTAAGGGCCTTTTTCAGCGCAACAAAGGAGTGCCCCACTACAGCCTACAATATAGTTCTAACAAGAAAAATACACCTTTGTAAAATTATCCTACATGTTTTTTTTTTTTTTTTTTAACAATAAATGTCTTCTCGCAAGGGTAGGGTCGCCTCTCAAATTCATTTGCCATCTGAAAGGTGTCAGAGGTCCACTGGTGATCCTCGATTGATCCTAGGGAAGGGTTACAGGCACATTGGCCTGGGGGGTTATGGGCGCACTGACCCGCTACTTAACAAGCCCTTTTATCTCAATGGTCTAGTGGTTGGGATTCTGACAAAAGGGGTATAGATTTGTTTTCCCCGGCTGCGCGATAGAATGAAATACAAACAGTTCGCTGAAAGAGCGCTAGAATGTCAGTTATGTAAGAACAGTTGTTTTCATAACACTTACATTTTTTCATTTAGCTTGCAATTCGGAAAGTGTGTCAGAATTTTGGAAAGTGTGTCAAAATTTCGTAAAATTGTGTCAGAAATTCTGAGAGTGTGTTAGAGGTGTCATTTAGTCTGACGCGAGTGGGAAAAACCAGAATGAGGGTCATTTTGGGCGAGGGTTTCTTCTAGTTACCATTCGCGTGATGGGTTGCTAGTGTATAGTTACCATACTTGCTAAGCGAGTTACCAAATGTGTTAGGTGAGTTACCAAACGTGTTAATCTAGGTACCAAACGCGTTGAAATCGTTACCGTACGAGTTATAATTCCCCATGTAAGTTACCACTGACATATTTTCCCAAAAGGGGAAAAGACACCCTAGTGCAATCCTCGCTACTTGGGTGTGGGTGAGAGATTTTTCGGGGGATCCGCTCCGCCCCCTTGGTATTTGTGCCGTCCAACTGCTAGCTACTGAATTCCTATCATGGATAACTGATAGTCTCTTGAGATAGTTATGAGCCTCTTAGAGTCGCTTAGAGACGACTCACCATGCTTCTAAAAGGGGACATTCACCGATCGTTATCCCGCCGGAGCGCTTCCTCTCAGTCTATCACCCCTCCTTACGACTCACCAGCCATCGGCATCACTCTGAGCGAACCACTCGCTAGCGACTCCTCCGTTAAGAGTTTATCGGCGAATGCTCTCTCCTTAACCTCCTCATTAAGTACTTACTCCGGTGACACCTCCTCGCTCGTCTTCCCTCCACGTAAGCCCACCAATCCGGAGGCCCTTCCACGTCAGCCATCCAACCCCGAAGCCCCTCTCCGTCGGACTGCATGCTTCAAATCCTTCTCCTCTGACGTTCCTCTGCTTCCCTGCTTGCCGCTGCTCTGGATCCTGGCCCTCGGGTTGACGCTCCTGTCGCTTAGTGCCACGTGGCAGCTCGAGAAAGCACAATGTCACGTGCGGGGCGACGACGAAGGCTGGAGTGAATCTGACTCAAACGACTTTATTGACCGCGTTGACTCACCTGTGCGACGCGGCCAGTCGCCTTGCGATCCGTGGTATCGTCGCAACCAATCAGACACCCCCCCGTTCACCAGCACACGAATGGCCGACCACCAAAATCAACCATATCGCCGAGCCTCCACTGGCGAACGGGTAACCTCTCCCGCCGCTTTCGCGGAGCTGTTCGTGGCGCCGCGGCCGTTCGCGGGGCGGCGGGGGAGGCGGCAGCTGGCAGCGTTGGCGTCGTGGGTGCGGCTGCAGCCCGGCGTGCGCGTGGTGCTGGTGGGGTCCCATCCCACCTTCCACCGCGTCGCCGCGAGATATCCGGGACGAGTGGTGGTGGAGGAGGATGTCGACACGAGGTAGGGGGGAAGGCATGAGGAGCATGGCGTGCGGGGAGGGTCGCATGGGGGGCACCGGTGCATGGGGGGGTGCATGGGGAGGGGTGCATGGGCATGTGGGGGCGAGTGGGCTCAAATCCCTGTTGGTTGTGGGTGCGTCTGCAGCCCGACGTGTGAGTGGTGCTGAGGGGGTCCCATCCCAGCCTGACCCGCGTCGCCTAGAGATACAACAGGCGGGTTGTGGTGGAGGAGGAGGTTGATACGAGTTAGGGGAGAGAAGGCATGGGGAGAATTGTCATGCTTTTCAAACAGTCTCTTGGATTGAGCCCGTGGTCTTTAAACCCCATCCGCCCTCATCCATTCTCCTCCCCCTCTTCCTCATTCCCTCACCCGCTTTCACAATCCCTTCCCCACGCCCCATCCCTTCCCCCTCCTCCCATCTGCGCCCTCCCTAGCTTCGCCTCAGGCCGACCCTTAGCCAACAGCCTCTTTGCCCGCGCCCGAGCCTCCCGTGCAGGCTTGGCGATTGTCCTAACCGACCCCAAGGCTGTGCTTATGTCGAGCCTGAGTGTAGCTTTGGAGAAGACACGGGACGTGCAGGGAGACTGGCTACTGGTGGCAGGCGCGTGGAAGGTTGAAGTAGGAGGCTCGGCACGAGGCTCGGGAGTTGGTTCGGTTGAGTGGAGGAGGGTTGGGCCGGGTAGGGTGGCGGGGAGGGAAGAGAATAGTGCAGAGAAGAAGGGTATCAGTGAGGAGGAGTATGCATGGGTGGCAACCAGTGTAACAGGAGTGACACGTCAGCTGAGTATGGATGAGGCACTGAGTCATCTCCAGTCATCCTCCTTGCTCTCCCACTCGCCCTGCTCTCCCCCCATCCTATGGGCCTGGAATGTAGGTCACACCCCCCTCCTCTCTGGCACCATGCCTCCCTTCCGCCTGCTGCAGCCACACACAGAGAGGGGAGGAAGTGGGGGAGAGGGCGAGGGGTCAAGGGGGAAGGAAGGGCACAGAGGGCGAGAGGGCAAGGGCGGTCGTGAGGAGGGGCAGCAAAAGGAAATGCTAGATCCAATGGCCGGCTCTCAAGCTCCAAGGAACGAGTCTACAGGCCAGGGGTTACCTGGTTACCACACACCTAGCCTTCACCGCGGCACACTATCCTCAGTTCGCGGCGTGTGGCAGCAGTGGGTTCTGCACGAGTGCCTCTCCTCTCCGCTCCGCCTCGTGCTCGATGCCTCCGCGCTGAAGCCCGTGCTGCTGCTGCCACCCGAAGGGGCTGCTGCTGTAGCGGAGGAGGGTATAGGCGACTGGGAAGGAGAGGAGAAAGGGGGAGGAGGGGAGGAAGGGGAGGAGGGAGAGCGAGAGGTGAAGGGAGAGGAGGAGGGAGGTGTCGGAGTGGGTGAGGAGGAAGGAGAGGAAGAGCTGAATGCCTACTTGGCTCTCTCCTACGGTTCCTTTCCCCTCTCACTCTCCTCTGTTCCTCCCGCCAACAGTCACTCACACAACAAGCACGGTTCCACCAAGGACAGCAGCAGCGCTGCACAGCAGCAACTGCTGCAACAGAGGCAGCAGCAGAGAGTGAGCCGTGGGCCGCGCGTGTCAGTTGGAGATGTGCTGTGGGCCCTCGTCCCGTGTGCCCACCCTGGCGCTGCTGGGTTCTGCTTCCAGCCACGCGACAAGCAGCAGCTCCGGGGGATGGTGGTGCCAGAAGGAGGAAGCGGGGGGTGGGATGAGGGCGGGAGGGGTGATGGGGGGGAGGGGTGGAGGTGCATTGGGCGGGTTGAGAAGGAGGGGCTGTTGCAGGCAGCTGCAGCGTGGAGGCGAGAGGGGGCTGGGTTGAGGCGGAGGCGGGAAGCTAAGAGGAAGGAGGTGGAGTTTGGGGGGGAAGGCGAGGAGGGTGTGAGTGGAGGGGGAGGGGATGGGGGTGAGAGAGGAGGGGCGGGCGGAGGTAGGAACGAGACTGGAGGGGCGGGTGGAGGGGCGGATGGAGGGGCAGAGGTGGGGCCGCTTGTGTTTGAGAGAGTGGAGCATGATGAGGTGATGCTGCGGGTGCTGCGACAGGTGGTGGGGAGAGGGACGGGAATGAAGAGAGGGGAAGGCAGGGCGAGGGCGAGGGGGAGAGGCATGCAAGAGGATGACGGATTGGGCGGAGAGGTGGCTGCAGCAGGAAGGAGAGGCAGCCGTAGGCAGAAGTCTGAAGCAGAAGGAAGAGAAGGGGCAAAAGGGAGAGAAGGGGCAAAAGGGAGAGAAGGGACAGAAGGGACAGGGGGGCCAGCAGGGGTCGAGGTGGCAGGTGCAGTGGAGGGGGACGAAGCGCGGACGGCGGTGCTGGCGGTGGTAGCATCAAACTACAGGGAGGTGATGATGAGCTGGGTGTGCGGGCTGCGCCGCCTGCACGTGCACAACTACGTTATAGCCGCCATGGACAGGGAAACTTACGACTTTGCCCGCGAGCAGGGCCTCCCGGTGTTCCCCCACGCGTACGACGACGCGTTCGGCCGTGACGACTGCCACTTCGGCACGGACTGCTTCCTCAATGTGACTAAAGTGAAGTCTCGGGCAGCCCTCCGCGTGTTACGGGCTGGTTACCACGTGCTGTTCAACGACGCGGATATCTATTGGTTCGCGGATGCGCGACCGATAGTGATGGGGTATGGGCCAGGGCATATGGTGGTTCAGAGCGACAATCACAATGACACGGGCCCGGATAATGACTATCGGCGGCTCAACTCAGGGTTTTATTTCATTCGCTCGGAGCCGAAGGCATTGGCGGCTCTCGAGGCGGTGGTGGCGCATGCAGCAGCATCACCAATAACAGAGCAGCCGAGTTTCTATGATGTGCTGTGTGGAGCTTCTTCTGAGTACACTGTGGGCGATTCCCAGTGCTTAAATCCGAAGTTCAACCTTACTGTGGATTTTCTCGATAGAAAGAGGTTCCCTAATGGTGCGACGCAGATGCTGTTCCATATGGGGAATAGCGTTCGGAAAGGGTGTGAAGAGATGGGTTGTGTGATAATCCATAACAATTGGGTGGCTGGGAGGAGGAAGAAAATACGGAGGCAGGTGAAGCAAGGGTTGTGGGACTACGATGTTGGGGCTCGAATGTGTATTCGCTCATGGTATAACTCTATGTTACAGCAGTTATACTAGACATAAAATGATGGTAACATGGGACGCACATGACATAACCTGCAAGCAAGTGAAAGGGTTGCAACCAGCAACCCCATCTCATTCATGGAGTGTGCTGTGTGAAATAGAAAGGGTACACCTTTACCTGTGAACAGAAAAAGAAACGAAGCACTTCAAAATATCTCTACTGGCCATATCATCCCATACAGAGATCGCGTTTCGCGTGTCAGAACGGCCATCAAACTCCTGGTGCGTGTCGCGACATCCTGGTGCGGGCTGATGCGCCAGCCGAACATGGCCCTTGTGAACGCCATCAGACATTTCATCGCCTCGCCGTCGATACTACTTATCGTCAGCCGCCGCGCAACTCGTTCAGCTGCGTGGCTGTACGGACAGACTCTGAGAGTAAACTCCGCTCCGCTCATGGTTACTAGAAGCCTCACAAATACCGTGTTCGCTCCGAGAGACTCCGAGCCGCGACCGTCTGTCGATGCGACAGACCCACTGATAGTAACGCCGCCAAGGCCAGGGGTACCGCAGACCAGCGAGTCGCTGCCTCGTGGACTGAGCGGAGCTGGCACGGCGGCGCGGCGCGCACGATCATGCTTAAAGGCCTCGACGGACGTGGCGGCGGTCGCTCCGTGCTCGCATTCGTCGTCGCGCTGCTCGCATGCCTCGCGCCGCGCCGCGGGCGGCCGTCGCGCAGATCATCTCGGAATCCGATGGTATCATGGAGTGACTTGTGAGTCGACTAGGAAGTCACAAAGTATGGGGTCGCTGAATTGATCGACCGCAGCTCAGGTGAAATCATTCCTGCTACTAAGACTCGCGCAACTCGTGGTATGCTGCCGCGTTGCCCTGCCTGCCACGCAACACGCTTCCCAAAAACAACGCTGTGATGCTCGTGCGCGTGCTCGTGCGCGTGCTCATGCTCGTGCGCGTGCGCGTGCTCGTGTGCGCGTGCGTGCTCATCGAGCTACCAGCAATCACACAAACCTCAACAGCCACCAACAGCCGTCAAGGCCTCCCTTCATCTGGTATTTTCGTCTGCTTCCCTCTCTGCCTGCTTTGCTTCGACATGATGCCACACGGCTTCCCTCCCTTCTTCCCTCTATGCTTCCCACTCTGCTTCCCTCTCTGCTTCCCACTCTTCTTCCCACTCTGCTTACTCCTTCCAAGCGAAACTATCTACTCTGGGCAGGTCTCTCCACCACTCACCACTCACCACTGAATCACAGCTTCACGACCAGATTGCTCAACGTCCACATCTTCAACAATACAGAATTCTCCACATGCGTGGCCGCCGCATGTGCTGTGCTGCTGTGATTGGCCCGTCCCGTTGCCCAGGTGCGGTGCTGCAGGAGGTGCAGAAGGCGTGGAACTTAACATTTGCCGGCTGGTTGCCTGGAGGGGACTGCGGGCTGCCAGCATCACCTCCGTGTATGTCTGCAGCACCTTGCTTCTCTCTGTTGTGCTGCCTTTTTTGGTTCTTCCTGTGCGTTGCGATGCGCTGTGCTGTCCTTCTGAAAATCGAATCTGAAAGCACATCTGAAGTGCCCTTGAGGGCTCTTCAGTCCAGGGTGCCTCGGCACAACAAACTGCCAATGTTCCACCCACCGTTTTTACCCCCAAGCTATCTCCACGCTTATGAAGCCGTCCTTCCAAGTGTTTTCGGAATCAATACAAACATCTCTTCCTTCTTCTTCCACCCCCACCGCCTTCCCCTTGAGGCGATTCTTCACGCTTATAAGGCCGTCCGTTCAGATGCTTTCCGAGTCTACTCAAACTCCTCCTTGTTCCATCCCCTCCTTTTCCCCCCTCAGGCAATTCTTCACGCTCATGGGGCCGTCCTTCCCCACGGATAGTGTCACGCGCCTTACTCGCCTCACAAAGCTGTATGTGCGTGTGCGTGCGCGCGCACGAGAGTGTGTTTGTGCGTGAGTGCATGCCTATGTGTGTGTGTGTGAGTGTGTGTGTGTGTGAGTGTGTGTGTGTGTGAGTGTGTGTGTGTGTGTGTGTGTGTGTGTGTGTGCGTGCATGTGCGTGTGTGTGTCTGTGTGCATGTTCGTGTGCATGTTTGTGTGTGTGTGTGTGAACGTGAGTGTATGTGTGTGTGCGCGTGCGTGCGTGCGTGCGTGCGTGCGTGTGAGTGTGTGTGTGTGTGTGTGTGTGTGAGAGAGAGAGAGAGAGAGAGAGAGAGAGAGAGAGTGCATGCACGTGTGTGCGTGCGTGCGCGTGTGTGCATGATTGCGTGTGTGATAAAGTAGCGCGCGTGCGAGAGTCCCCAGGGAGGGCTCGGACAGGGCCCCTGCGAGCGGCGTGCTTATGTGCGCCTGTTCTTGTGCCACTTCAATGCCCACGCCTTTTCCACCCGCACCACCACCCACCAACCACCGCAGCCGCATTCATGAATGGAAGTTCTCAGCGTGCGTTGTGCTTGGCTTGCATTGTGCCCTCTCCTCTGGCCTTCTGTGCGACTTTATCCATCCTAACCTCAGCAATGCTTTCCACAATGCAGGAGCTTCAGCAGCGCTATCTATTTTCCAGACAACCCACTCTACAGCATCACATGGCTCAAGTCTCTGTGAGTTGGGCGTTTTTTAGTTGACTCATACAGCGAGTAGGGGCAACCAGATTGAGGCCAAGTTATACGCTTGTCGGTTTTGTTTTTGCTAATTCTGATGTTTTTATTTATTCTGTATGATAATCTGAGTAACATTGTCCTTACAGCGTGCATATACCGTGCTTTCCTTGCGGAGTGTGCTCCTCGTTCTCTATGAAGGAAGGATTAGTATGTTCGCGTGCATCAAAAGTAGTCATGCATTCGGTTTACTCCATGCATGTGCATGTGCATGTGCTTCTGCAGGTCAGTGGAGTGTGTTCCGGGCGGTGTTGCAGAGAGCTTTCCTTCCACCATAGCCAACTTCGCGCAGCTGACAAGACTGTACGTTTGGCCAACGCATGCACGTGACTGTAGGAACAAGTGTGTCAGAGGGCTTTCTCTCCAGCATTTGAATGTGTGCATTTGAGACTAGCATTGCCAACCTCTCTCAGCTGACCAGACTGTACGCAATTGCATTTTTTGAGGTTTTGAGACGTCTCAAAACCACCCGTCTTTTGAGACGTCTCAAAACCACCCGTCTTTTCACATGGCTTACAACCTCTCTCAGGTGATCAGACTGTACTCGCCAGTGCATGCATTGAGGGTGAATGCGCAAGAGATGCTTGACATATGCCGTAACAAAACTGCATCCTTACAAGTTCAAGTGAGTCGGTCTATCTGTTACAGCATGGAATGGCATGGCGTGGCATGGCATGCCATGGATGTAGCATGTATGGACTGGGTTCATGCTGATGCTTGCTGGCCCAGGAACTTATTTAAAGGTCCAAGCACTTATTCAAAGCTCCCTGCTTCCCTCGCCTGCGGTGGCGTGCAGGAGAGTGAAGGACTGTGGCATGGGCAGCAATGGTGCCTTCTCCGTGCTCACCTCTCTCACCAGCCTCGTGGATGTGTAAGCACGGCCCTCATGTGCACGGCCCTCATGTGCACGGCCCTCATGTGCACGGCCCTCATGTGCACGGCCCTCATGTGCACGGCCCTCATGTGCACGGCCCTCATGTGCACGGCCCTCATGTGCACGGCCCTCATGTGCACGGCCCTCATGTGCACGGCCCTCATGTGCACGGCCCTCATGTGCACGGCCCTCATGTGCACGCCCCTCAAGCACTGATGCGCCACATGCAGGACCCACACTCATGCCCCACACGCACTGCCCTCTCTTGCACTCTCCACACCCAGTTTGCACACCTGCTGTTTCCCAGACCCTTGCCCCCACACAAGTGTGCCCCCCACACAAGCCAGTGTGCCCCCCAACCTCAGCCCCACCTTGGCCCTTCCACCCACCTTGACCCTTCCACACACCTGCATCTGAGGTCGTCTTCCCTTCTCTGCTACTACTGCCTCTCAATGCCCCTCTTGCTGCGCTTTCTTCCCCTCATTCTCCGCCTTGGCCTTTCTCGCTACTCTCCACTCCAGCAAGTTGCGGTCTAACGGCGTCTCGGAGCTGTCGCCACTTCAAGAAATGGACTACGCCAAACTACAGCAACTGTACGACTCCCCATCGTTTGTTTTCTGATGCCGATTGCAGAAGCCATGCAAGCAAGCGGGGCATAGCTCCTTGCGTGCGCTTGTGCATGTGCATGTGCATATGCACGTCCTTGCGTGCACGCTCTCTCCGTCCCTTTGCATGCACGCTCCCGGTGCCCTCCCACACCCCTCCATTAACCCTTCTACTCTCCCTCCCACCCCCCACATGGCAGCAATCTGAGCTCCAACGCTCTGCAGTCCGACCTGAGCAAGCTCACCAGCTCGGGACCTGAGCAATCTCACCAGCCTCACATCCCTGTGAGTAGGGTAGGGGCAGTCGAGAAACTACAGAGAGTTGGAGGCATGGAGTGTGCACATTCACAGAATCAGGAAGCACGCACGGTAGCAGGAATCTGAGCTCCAACGCTTTGCAGTCTGATGGGCTCCCATGCACCAGCCTCACATCCCTGTGAGTAGAAAATGCCTTGTAGGGGGCAGTCAGGACACCTGCCATGCACTGCACCTGCCATGCACTCCACCTGCCATGCACTGCACCTGCCATGCACGTTGAAGGGAAGGGACCCCACTTGGAGGTCGTGCCTTTACATGTCAGCGGCTTATTTTCCAGAGTAGAATATTGTAGGATGCTTTCTTGCTGTGGGGCATGCTGCCGAGGAGCAGCCGGGACATGTACCATGCATGTGTCATGTAGGGGTGAGCAATATGAGGCGAACCGAACAGGATTTTTTTTTGGCCTAAATTGTTCGGGGTGAACGTGTTCGGTGTTCGCCCGAGCTCGTTCGCCGTTCGCCCGGCTCAGCTGGCCGAGGCGCGTCGAACATGAACGTGTTCGTGTTCGTCGACGAATAGGCCCGCGACCAATTTTTAGGTCGCGGGCCTTGGTGTTTGGGCTCAGATCTGGCATTTCGAAGTTAGTTAAGTACAGATCTAGCATTTCGCCGTTGCTTAAGTGCGGATCAAGGCATTTCGCCGTTGCTAAGTGCAGATCTAGCATTTCGCCGTTGCTTAAGTGCGGATCAAGGCATTTCGCCGTTGCTTAAGAGCAGATCTAGCATTTCGCCGTTGCTTAAGAGCAGATCTAGCATTTCGCCGTTGCTTAAGTGCAGATATAGCATTTTGCCGTTGCTTAAGTGCAGATCTAGCCTTTCGCCGTCCGTCACACGCTGGCACTAGCATGGATGAAGCAGGGCGGGACTGGCTTGGGGGGTGGGGGGAGGGAATGTGCAACGATTTGAATTTTACTCTATTTGGACCTTACAGCCACCTAACAAATGTCAACAATGCCCAATCCACAAACGTGTGAATGTAGTCCCGGGGCGAACACGAACACGTTCGCCACGAACACATTCGTGTTCGCCTTCACAGGCGAACGGCGAACACCTTTTTTTGGGAAAGTCGCTCGGCGAACCGAACACTGTTCGGTTGGCCGAATGGCGGTGTTCGTGCAGGGGCGAACGCGAAAAGGTTCGTGTTCGCCTCTTGCTCATCCCTAGTGTCATGCATGCAACTAGAGCCCGAGCAAGTGCAAAAGCCGCTAAAAAAACAGTCAATTCTGCAGCTGCAGCAGAACCACCTTACCTCGAAGGCGTTCTGATTGATAATAATGACAAGATTTTTTTCTACGGTACGTGTCACCGAAGTAGAAACCTGGGAGAGAGCTTCAGACTGATGGAGGGGAGCACACTCGAAACCATCCACGTGATGGTTCTAGGACATGCCGGCTCTTTTGTGTGGAGCACACGAGTTATATCAGACCACGTGCTCCCCTCCACCCAAGTCGGAGGCTCCCTCCCAGGTTTTTGCTTCGGCGACACATGTATCGTCGAAAAAATCTTGTCATTATTGTCAATCAGAACGCTTTCGAGATTAGGTGGTTTTGCTGCAGCTGCAGAATTGGGTGCTTCTTTATCGGCTGTTGCACTTGCTCGGGCTCTGGTTGCATAAGCCCTTCATGCTATGTGCACGCCTCCCTGTCATGCCAGGCACCTGCGGTGTGGCCCAGAATCCATCTACTGGCAGCTGCGGTGTGGCCCAGAATCCATCTACTGGCAGCTGCGGTGTGGCCCAGAATCCATCTACTGGCAGCTGCGGTGTGGCCGAGAATCCATCTACTGGCAGCTGCGGTGTGGCCCAGAATCCATCTATTGGCAGCTGCGGTGTGGCCCAGAATCCATCTACTGGCAGCTGCGGTGTGGCCCAGAATCCATCTACTGGCAGCTGCGGTGTGGCCCAGAATCCATCTACTGGCAGCTGCGGTGTGGCCCAGAATCCATCTACTGGCAGCTGCGGTGTGGCCCAGAATCCATCTACTGGCAGCTGCGGTGTGGCCCAGAATCCATCTACTGGCAGCTGCGGTGTGGCCCAGAATCCATCTACTGGCAGCTGCGGTGTGGCCCAGAATCCATCTACTGGCAGCTGCGGTGTGGCCCAGAATCCATCTACTGGCAGCTGCGGTGTGGCTCAGAATCCATCTACTGGCAGCTGCGGTGTGGCCCAGAATCCATCTACTGGCAGCTGCGGTGTGGCCCAGAATCCATCTACTGGCAGCTGCGGTGTGGCCCAGAATCCATCTACTGGCAGCTGCGGTGTGGCCCAGAATCCATCTATTGGCAGCTGCGGTGTGGCCCAGAATCCATCTACTGGCAGCTGCGGTGTGGCCCAGAATCCATCTACTGGCAGCTGCGGTGTGGCCCAGAATCCATCTACTGGCAGCTGCGGTGTGGCCCAGAATCCATCTACTGGCAGCTGCGGTGTGGCCCAGAATCCATCTACTGGCAGCTGCGGTGTGGCCCAGAATCCATCTACTGGCAGCTGCGGTGTGGCCCAGAATCCATCTACTGGCAGCTGCGGTGTGGCCCAGAATCCATCTACTGGCAGCTGCGGTGTGGCCCAGAATCCATCTACTGGCAGCTGCGGTGTGGCCCAGAATCCATCTACTGGCAGCTGCGGTGTGGCCCAGAATCCATCTACTGGCAGCTGCGGTGTGGCCCAGAATCCATCTACTGGCAGCTGCGGTGTGGCCCAGAATCCATCTACTGGCAGCTGCGGTGTGGCCCAGAATCCATCTACTGGCAGCTGCGGTGTGGCCCAGAATCCATCTACTGGCAGCTGCGGTGTGGCCCAGAATCCATCTACTGGCAGCTGCGGTGTGGCCCAGAATCCATCTACTGGCAGCTGCGGTGTGGCCCAGAATCCATCTACTGGCAGCTGCGGTGTGGCCCAGAATCCATCTACTGGCAGCTGCGGTGTGGCCCAGAATCCATCTACTGGCAGCTGCGGTGTGGCCCAGAATCCATCTACTGGCAGCTGCGGTGTGGCCCAGAATCCATCTACTGGCAGCTGCGGTGTGGCCCAGAATCCATCTACTGGCAGCTGCGGTGTGGCCCAGAATCCATCTACTGGCAGCTGCGGTGTGGCCCAGAATCCATCTACTGGCAGCTGCGGTGTGGCCCAGAATCCATCTACTGGCAGCTGCGGTGTGGCCCAGAATCCATCTACTGGCAGCTGCGGTGTGGCCCAGAATCCATCTACTGGCAGCTGCGGTGTGGCCCAGAATCCATCTACTGGCAGCTGCGGTGTGGCCCAGAATCCATCTACTGGCAGCTGCGGTGTGGCCCAGAATCCATCTACTGGCAGCTGCGGTGTGGCCCAGAATCCATCTACTGGCAGCTGCGGTGTGGCCCAGAATCCATCTACTGGCAGCTGCGGTGTGGCCCAGAATCCATCTACTGGCAGCTGCGGTGTGGCCCAGAATCCATCTACTGGCAGCTGCGGTGTGGCCCAGAATCCATCTACTGGCAGCTGCGGTGTGGCCCAGAATCCATCTACTGGCAGCTGCGGTGTGGCCCAGAATCCATCTACTGGCAGCTGCGGTGTGGCCCAGAATCCATCTACTGGCAGCTGCGGTGTGGCCCAGAATCCATCTACTGGCAGCTGCGGTGTGGCCCAGAATCCATCTACTGGCAGCTGCGGTGTGGCCCAGAATCCATCTACTGGCAGCTGCGGTGTGGCCCAGAATCCATCTACTGGCAGCTGCGGTGTGGCCCAGAATCCATCTACTGGCAGCTGCGGTGTGGCCCAGAATCCATCTACTGGCAGCTGCGGTGTGGCCCAGAATCCATCTACTGGCAGCTGCGGTGTGGCCCAGAATCCATCTACTGGCAGCTGCGGTGTGGCCCAGAATCCATCTACTGGCAGCTGCGGTGTGGCCCAGAATCCATCTACTGGCAGCTGCGGTGTGGCCCAGAATCCATCTACTGGCAGCTGCGGTGTGGCCCAGAATCCATCTACTGGCAGCTGCGGTGTGGCCCAGAATCCATCTACTGGCAGCTGCGGTGTGGCCCAGAATCCATCTACTGGCAGCTGCGGTGTGGCCCAGAATCCATCTACTGGCAGCTGCGGTGTGGCCCAGAATCCATCTACTGGCAGCTGCGGTGTGGCCCAGAATCCATCTACTGGCAGCTGCGGTGTGGCCCAGAATCCATCTACTGGCAGCTGCGGTGTGGCCCAGAATCCATCTACTGGCAGCTGCGGTGTGGCCCAGAATCCATCTACTGGCAGCTGCGGTGTGGCCCAGAATCCATCTACTGGCAGCTGCGGTGTGGCCCAGAATCCATCTACTGGCAGCTGCGGTGTGGCCCAGAATCCATCTACTGGCAGCTGCGGTGTGGCCCAGAATCCATCTACTGGCAGCTGCGGTGTGGCCCAGAATCCATCTACTGGCAGCTGCGGTGTGGCCCAGAATCCATCTACTGGCAGCTGCGGTGTGGCCCAGAATCCATCTACTGGCAGCTGCGGTGTGGCCCAGAATCCATCTACTGGCAGCTGCGGTGTGGCCCAGAATCCATCTACTGGCTCCTGCCGCACCTGCGCCGACTTCTGCACCACATGCGAGTCACCCCAGGCAGTGACGCGAGGCAGTGACTCCAGCCTGCAGAAGCTGCTCTACTATGATGGATGCCTGGTGCAAGCCCCCTGCCAGCTGAGCTAATATGCTTGCACGTTCTGTTGTGTCTTTGCAGGCGACAAGTCCCAGTTGCCAGCACCGCCTGCAGCCAACCAGGGGAAGGCAGGAGTGTCTGTGGGAGCGATCGTCGGGGCAGTGGTTGCCGCCTGTGCTGCTGCCCTGTGCCTGGCTTCAATTCTCCACTGCTGCTGCTGCTTCAACAAACGGCAAGAGAAAGGTATTGAGCGCAGTGCACAGCACACTACAGGCAACCAGGGAAAGCCAGAATGGAGGAAGGCAGGAGTGTCATGGGAGTGATTGTCGGGGCTGTGGTTGCCGCCTGTGCTGCTCTCCTGGGCCTGGCTCTAATCCTCGACTGCTGCTGGTGCTTCAATAAGCGGCAACAGAAAGGTCCGTTGATGTTACTTTTGAGAATTCTCAAAAGTTCACTCAAACATGTTCTCCTGGGCGTGGCTCTTCTGCTCTATTGCTGCTGCTTCAACAAACGGCAACAGATAGGTGCTTCTCACGGCCCACACTGCTGCACACATCGCACACTGCTGCACACACCGTACACTGCTGCACACACCACACACTGCTGCACACACCGCACACTGCTGCACACACCACACACTGCTGCACACACCACACACTGCTGCACACACCCTTCTCCAACAACAAATAGTGCGGCACAGTGCTCCATTATAGTCGAATGAGCGCTGATGGGCGTTCCTTGCTCACTCCTCTCTCACGCGCTCCCCACACCAGCATTGATGAGCAGCAAAGCAGCAGTGCAGGCGTGTCAGGAGTACCCTCTGCAGTGGTGAAGGCCACTAACGGGTGGAGCGAGGCGAATCATCCCCCCTTTTGCCACCCCTTCCCCTTCCTCTCTCACGAGCGTTAATGAGCACCGAGGCAGCATCGCAGGCGTGTTAGGAGTACCCGCTGCAGCAGGTGGTGAAGGCCACCAATGGGTTGGAAAGAGGCCAGTCTCTCGCCAGCACTGTTGAGCAGCATCACAGGCGTGTCAGGAGTATCCGTTGCAGCACGTGGTGAGGGCGACCAACGGGTGGAGCAAGGCGAACCTGCTGGGCAGGGACCCACACAAGCGCCCTAGTGCTCCATATCACATCATCCGCTTCCACTTGTTCTCTCATCTCCATCTCGCCAGCACTGTTGAGCAGCAGGGCAGCAACGCAGGCGTGTCAGGAGTACCCGCTGCAGCACGTGGCGAAGGCCACTGACAGGTGGAGCGAGGCGAACCTGCTGGGCAGAGGAGGTGAAGAGCGAGGGAGAGGAGAAGGAGAGGCGGGTGGGGGAAAGGGAGACGCAATCAGTGGATAGGGAGAGGCAGGTGGGGGATAGGGTGACGCAGGTACAGACAAGGGAGAGGGAGCTTCAGACAAGGGAGAGGGAGGGAGAGACAATGGAAAGAGAGTTACAGACAAGAAAGGGACATGTGGAAGACAGTGCGAGGGGGGTAGTGAAGAAAAAGATGCAGGTGGGAGAGAGGGAGTGGGAGGTGGCGGAGAGGGAGAAGGAGATTGGAGAGAAGGAAAGGCAAGTGGAAGAGAGTAAGGAGCATGCAGAGGAGAGGAAGGAGCTAGAGGAGTTAAGTTCAAAGTTGAAAGAGGCGGAATACAAGGCAGCTGATGCATTGGATATGGTAATGGCCCGTGATTTCATCATGAAGCAGCATAGCAGAATTCAGGTCAAGTTGTGCAAGCAATACAACGTATTGGCTGCGGCGGTGAAGGCTACAGATGAGGCTACCCAATACGTCTGCCAAGCAGCACTCAATCTGTAGACTCATTTGTAGCCTTCACTGCCGCAGTCAATATGTCGTATTGCTTGCACAACTTGACCTGTATTCTTATATGCTGTTCAATGATGAAATCACGGGCCATTACCATATCCAGTGCATCAGCTGCCTTGTATTCCGCCTCTTTCAGCTTTGACCTTACCTCCTCTAGCTCCCTCTTCCTCTCCCCTGCATGCTCCGTAGTCTCTTTCGCTTGCCTTTCCCTCTCTTCAAATCCGTCTCCCTCTCCCCCACCTCCCTCTCCCTCTCTTCCACCTGCATCCTTTTCTCTACTACCCGCCTCACACTGTCTTCCACATGTCTCTCCCTTGTCTGTAACTCTTCTTAGAAATTAGGCTTAGAAGCGATGCATTAGTAATGAGCTTGAAGCTCTTTAAATACATCCAAGAAGGGGAAGGAATGGATGGGGAAGGGAATCGGGGGCAATCCTAGGGATAACGGGTAATCCCAAGGCAATCTCCAATTGGTGGGTTAGAGATTGCTTGGAGATTACATTTGGGTTTGGTTGGGATGTAGGTGTACACCCAACCAAACACAATGTGCAAACTACACTACTCTAGGATATAGAAAATACAAAGTACAAAGTGTGAGATTGAAGGCTAACACTAACACCCCCCCATAGGCGTCAATCGAACTCATGGTAGAGAGGGTGGCGCACAGAGCCCCATGGCGCTTAGGAGACGGTGGTGGGGAACTTTCCCAAAGGGCTTGGTGAACAGATCAGCCACGTTGCAGCCAGATGCAACGTATTCCACTTTCAGCTGCTCCTGTTGGACAAGGTTACGGATGAAGAAGTGCCGAAGTTCAATATGTTTGGTGCGGGTGTGATACACAGGGTCTTGAGAGATGTGGATGGTACTCTGGTTGTCACACTAGAGGGTGGGGGCGGACTGTGGGAAACCAAGCTCCTGGAGTAGGAAGGTGAGCCAACGGGCCTCCTGAGCAGCCATGGTGCCTGCGTAGAGCTCTGCCTCACAGGAGGAGAGGGAGACTGCAGACGACCTGGTGGAGCGCCAACTGACAATTCCGCTCCCAAGGGTGAAGTAGTACCCCTGAGAGGAGCGTCGGTCGGTCTGGTCATCAGCCCAGGAGGAGTCGGTGTAACCTTCCAGGCGAGGAGGGGAGAGCCCACCGAGTGTGAGAACGTGAGACTTGGTGCCCTGAAGATAGCGCAGCACCCGCTTCGCCGCCTTCCAGTGAAGATCAGTGAAGCGTCCAGGGGCCACGTAGCGAGAGAGGACACTGACAGGATAGGCCAAGTCCGGTCGGGTGCACATCATGGCGTACATGAGGGACCCAACAAGCTCCGGGTATGGCTCAGAGCAGGCCTCTGGTGTGGGTACAGCTGGAGCAGTGAGGAGGTGTTGCAGCGGCAGCGGGGTGGCAACAGGTGTGCACAGCTCCATCTCAAACCGCTTGAGCACATTGTTGATGTAGAACTCCTGGGAGAGTGAAATGGTGCGAGCCTGGCGATCACGAGTGATCTCCATCCCCAGGTAGTGCTTGAGGTCACCGAGGTCTTTCATTTGGAGAGCCTTGCTCAAGGCTGCTTGGACAGAGGTCATCTGGACCGAGTCCTTGGCAACGAGGATGAAATCATCCACGTAGACCAGGATGTAGAATGGCTCAGAATGACGGCGGATGAAGAGAGTCGGGTCAGCAGTTGAAGGGTGGAAGTCCAGGGAGAGGAGGACTTCTTTCACCTTGTTGAGCCATTCGCGAGGGGCTTGCTTAAGGCCGTAGACGGGGCGATTCAGCTTCCAGACAGTGTTGGGAGGGAATTCTCCTAGGAAGCCTTCTGGTCTGTCCATGAACACTCTCTCCTTGAGACGTCCTTGTAGGAAGGCGGATGAGGCATCCATGGATTTGATCTCAAAGTCTTCTCGAGTTGCGACATTCATGAGCGTACGAATGGTGGGAGGTTTGGATGTGGGGGAGAAGGTTAGGAAGAAGTCGCGGTACTGCTGCTGGGTGAAGCCCTTGGCTACATAACGCGCTTTGAACACCGGGGCCTTGTCTGGGAGCTGTTTTACACGGAACAACCACTTGCCCCTGACGATGTTGACTCCTGGAGGTGGAGTCTCGTCGTCGAAGGAGTGGTTGCGGGTGAATGCTGCTATCTCCGCTTCCATGGCAGCACGCCATTCGGCAGCATGAGGGCCTGAGAGAGCCTCTTGGACGGTGAGAGGGATAGGGATGGTCGGGTTCTCCGCGAAGTTGAGGGAGGGTGAATCAGTGATGTCGGGGAAGATGTGCGAGAGCTGAGGAATGACTGCATGAAGATCACACAGCTCCTCATGCCTGTCTTCCAGAAGGGTAGAGGGCACATCCCCCCCAGCAGGAGGAGGCGGTGTGATCGCCGTGTATCGAAGAACCAGCGCTAGTGGAAGAGCCGCGCCATGCAAACGAGTGCCATGAGCCACCGGAGAAGAGGGTGGGGCAGGCGGTGTCGGAAGGGTTGACTTAGGAGGCTTGGGCGGGGGAATGGGCCGCCGGTGGTACGTGATCAGCTCGGGCGACTGTGGGAGAGCGGGTTCCTCTATGGTGGGGGGAACCGGGGGAGGAGGTGGGGCTGGAGGGTGGGACCGCCGATAGTAGGTGATAGGTGCGCTCGGAGGTGGCTGCACAGTCGGCGAAGTGGGAAGTGAGGGGGATGGAGGAGCAGCTGTCGAAGACACCGGTGAGGGCGGGTCAAAGACCACAGAGGGGGACGGTGCGGTGGCAGGAGGGGTAGGGGGTGAAGGGGCCGGAGTAGGCGAGAGGTCAGGAGGCGCATCAAAGTCTGCCCACACGAGGGAGGGTGGGTCAGGGAGAGGGTCCCGTCCCGAAGTGGAGTAGAATGGGCGGGTCTCATCAAAGACAATGTCGCGGCTCCGGACCAACTGCTGAGTGGAGGGATTGAGGAAGAGGTAGTCAGGCGAGTCGGCGTTGTGTCCGAGGTAGATGCATGTCTGGGTCTTGGGACCGAGCTTGCCGCCGTGCTGCCGTCGAGCCTGAGGGTTGAGGAGGACATAAGCGGTGCACCCCCAAACGCGAAGAGAGCGAGCAGTGGGCGTTTTCCCGAGCCAGAGTGTGGTTGGAGTGGTGTCGGGAAGATGCGGTTGGGGGTAAAGGTTGTAGAGGAGGGCGGCGTGGTAGAGAGCGTACCCCCAGAGAGAGTGTGGAGCGTTGGAGTGGCTGAGGAGGCACCGAGTGATCTGCACCAGGGTGTGGTTGCGGCTCTCAGCTATGCCGTTTTGTTGCAGGCTGTCAGGGAGGGTGAAGTTTTGCTGGATGCCTTCTGAAGAGCAGAAGGCTTTGAGCTTGTCGTTGCAAAACTCACCACCATCATCTGAGTGGAGGCGCTTGACTTTGCGGTCAAAGGCGGTCTGTGCCTGTTTAACCCACGCCATGAGGACCTCTGGAACCGCAGCCTTAGTGTGGAGGAGGTGAACAGAGACGTAACGAGAGTGGTCATCGACGATAACAAGGAAGTAGCGATAACCACCTCGTGTGGGAACAAGGGCAGGGCCCCAGACGTCGAGGTGTACCAGGTCCAGTGGTCCTGCTGCAACAGAAGGTGAGGCCGGGTGGGGCTGTTGACGCAGCTTGCTCTTGGTGCAGTCAAGGCACGTGGGAGCGGGGGAGTCTGGTGGTGGAGGAAGTGAGGCTGGCAGGCCGAGTAGAAGTTTCTTGGAGGCCATGTCAGCAAGTGTGCGGAAGTTTGGGTGCCCGAGCCGATGGTGGTAGAGTATGGTCGGGTTGGAGAAACTGCGGCACGAACATGGTGAGGTAGTCACCGCTGTTTGGGTGGTTGACACCTGTGGGATGGGTACTTGCAGCGTGTAAAGGCCGCTGCTGTTGAGGGTGAAACGAGTCAAGACCTTGTTGGTGAGTGGGTCGAGGATATCACCATAGTTCTCGTTCTCCCAGAAGATGGTGCGTAGCCCAGCTTCGTGAATTTCCGTTTGGGCCACGAGATTGTGGCGGAGTGAAGGCACGCACATTCCAGTGACAGTGCCGGAAGGGAAGGCGGGGCACGGGACTGTGGATGAACCATTGGCATGAGTGGTGAAGCTTGAGTCAGCTCCTAGGAGAGGGATGGGTGTTGCGTAGGGTTTGAAAAAGAGTGTCTCCTTGAGTACAGTGTGTGTGGCCCCGCTGTCGAGTGTGAACTCTATGTATTGTGGTGCTTGTGATGAGCCGAGGTACTGGGAGGAAGCTTCATTAATCATGGCAGTGCCAGGGAACAACAGGTTGATACGGGCATCAGCAGGAGCACTATCACTAGCACTAGCCGAAGCGGGGTCCTGGACCTCAACCAGGTTGGCCTTACGCGCACGCATCCAGTTCGGTGGCCTCTTGTCTATGCCGTGGATGGCGTACCATTCGTCGTCCTTCTTCTTGAAGCACGTAGCGAGGGGGTGGTTAGTGCCACCACACACTTGTCCCTTGCGGTTGCCATACTTGACGACGTAGGTGCACGGTGGGAAGCGGTTGCGCTGGAGGGGCGCCGAGGCAAGGGCCGATGCGACACTGGCTTGAGGCATGGGAGCGCGGATGGCGTAAGCCTTGGCCTGAGCCGTGGAGTCTTTCTCGGCAGAGAGGAGTGCGGTGGAGACCTTGGCAAAAGTGAGGTTTTCCGCAATCAGCGTGAGGAGCATCTTCCTTGTAATTTCATAGGTTGTGGTGAGACCAACGAGAAGAGCTGCTGCAGGGGCCTTTTCGGGGAAGACTATACCCAGCTCCTTGAGTTCGCCATGAGTGGTCTGAACCTTGGCAATGTAGTCGGCCATTTCCGAGCAATCCTCAAGGCAGACCTGGAACATGCTGGGGATGAGGATGGCAACTCCGACTGCAGTCTTGTTCATGAACCGATCCTGGAGATACTTCTAGATGGCGTTGGAGGTAGGGTAGTTATGGAACGTGTTGACAAGTTCTGGAGGGGTGGAGGCGATGAAGACGCTGATAATTGCAGCATCGGCCTTCTCCCACTTCCGGTACTTCTCAACGGCTTCCTCATATGCCTTTGTGTCAGCCTCACTAGCAGATTCGGTTGGCTCGCGAGGGAGAAGGGGCTATATTCCCTTGCCACGGTTGAGGAGGACATCCTTGAGGTCCAATCCCTGCACGTCACGGCTCAGTAGGTGCTTGTCAACCCCATAGCTCCATGCCTTGAAGTTGGAGACAGAACTGTTGTGGAAGCAAGAATGTCCCAGTGGGTACCTTTGGTCTTAGTGGTCGCGGGTTCAACTCTCATCGGCAGCACCTTCTCTTCTCATTATGCCGAACATGACACTCCCACACTCCACCACACTCACCCACAGTGAAGTGTGGTCACAGTTGGCATTGCCATCTGTCCACCCATCCCATACTCACCTTGTTGGCTCCTATGGTGTGCCACATGCTGCCATGTAGGCTGTTGTTCCAGCCTGGCCCACATGTGCAACATGTGGCCTCAATTGCTAGCTTGGCAAGGTTGGCTAGCCCTGCCCTCAGCTTTGAGGTGCTGCAGCTAGCCTCAAGAGTTCAGCCACATAAATGTGGCTTCCCACTTCTCTAGAACTTATCCTTGGAAAGGACATTGCTCTAGCCTTTCAGGCTTGTACCATCTTCCTACTAAGGATATATTGTTCTTCTCTCATTGTGCCTCAAGTTCACCGATCCTCATTCTACATGCTATCAGAGCAAAGCTTCTAGCTTAGTGAACGTTGCACACTTCATGGCTCAAGTTGAAACGCCTCTCGGTCGGCACACCCTTCCCATCTTGGAACCAGATGGTTCCAACTTCATTCCATGGAAGAAAAAGATCTGCTACATCTTCAATGTCCTCGGGCTGATCTCCCTCCTTGGAGATCCCAAGGTTGCTTCGCGTCCTTCAATCTCCTCTTCCATAACCAGCGGTGGAGAGACTACCGAAGGCAACAGCGGTGCAGCCCCTAAGACAGCCCATTCGATTGCTTCGCTGCCGGATGAAGAAAAAGAGGAGCATGCATACTATCTTCTCATGTCAGCCGTCCATCCTCAACTATCGCTCACTCTTGCTCAAGCCAACACGACAAAGGATATGTGGGGATGCATCATGGCGCGGTTCGACTGCATGGGCAACCATGCACAAGTGGCTCTCCTCCGGGATCTCATCACTACACGGATGGACCCAACAACAAGTCTTCGCTCCTACTTTGATCGAGTTGGAAACCTTACACACCAACTCAAATCTGCCGGCTTTGAGCTACCATCATGGGTGGTGGTAATCTCCATCATCCTCAACCTTCCGGACTCGTTCAAGACCCTTACTGAAACCATTTGCACCGTGAAAGACATAAAGTCTATGACGGTTGAATACCTACAGTCACGCCTACTCGATGCCGATTGGGAGCGGTCACAATCTGGTACAAGCCGTAACATGGAGGGTGCATACAACCTCAATTCCCAGCCCTCCCACCCTCTTCGCTCCGGTTCACGCCAGTCGCCCACCTGCCGTTACTGCAAGAAAACGGGTCACACCATCGATGAATGCTTCAAATTGAAGAAGAAGAAAGAGCTTGAAGAAAGCTCTAAACGGGAGAAATCCGTTTTCCAACCCTCGGTGCATGTCTCCACCAGCTCCTCTGCTGAAGCTACTCCGACCCCCACACCACCTCCTGCCCCATCAACCCCTCAGTCCGTACCTGATTCCCGGTACGTGGACATTGCTGTCAGCACCAGCCACCACCCCATCTTCTCCACATGGACTCCTCTCGTCGCTGCTGTCTTCATTCTCACCATCCTCCTTCTCCTCCTCCTCTTCCCTTATGGGGCTCCCTACGCATCGGCATTCACGGCCTCCTCATTCAATATGGAGCGGACTTCGTCGTGGCTGGTGGACAGCGGCGCATCCTCCCATATCTGCTCGAATCGTTCGCTGTTTTCGTCTCTCAAGAAGCCCAACGAAGAGATCCTTGTTCGTTTTGGTGGAGGAGAGACTTACAAGGTCTTGGGAGTCGGCACGGTGGTGGCTACTCTTCGGTCACCAACATCGGAAACCACCATTCAGCTTGACAACGTTCTATTTCTCCCTTCATCAGCTCACAACCTGCTCTCTGTTCGTGCGCTTGGTGCTGCCGGCGTTGCCGTCTCGTTCCCCGCTGCTGGGCGCGTTGTTCTCACATCTGATGACGTTCCTATTGGCGAGGGCTACACCCGCAACAATCTGTTTTATCTTCAACTGCATCATGGGAGCAGTGCTGCTCCTTCTATCAAGCCAACTGCATGTCTAGCCTCCACCACCACCTCCTCGTACCTCTGGCATCGTCGTTTCGGGCATCTCAACATGCAGGCCTTGTCAACACTTCATCGGCAGCAGCTGGTCACCGGTCTTCACCTCTCCTCCACCTCGATTCCCCCCTGCATCTCGTGCTATCGTGGGAAACAAACACGTCAGCCATTTGGCGTGTCCCATTCTCGCACCACAGCCCCACTCCAACTCATTCACTCAGATATTGCTGGACCGCTTTCATATGGAACTACCATTGGCGGCGCTCGCTACCTTCTCACCTTCATCGACGACTACTCCCGCCACATTACAGTGTATCTCCTACGCCACCGGTCGGAAGCACTTTCATGCTTCAAGGCTTACGTCACTCGGGTGCACAACATGCATTCCCCACACACCATCAAAACCTTTCGCTCTGACGGTGCCTTGGAGTTCACTTCCAAAGCCTTCACTTCATTCCTCACAGCTCATGGCATCGCCCGCCACCTCTCCACGCCATACACACCTGAGCAAAATGGAGTAGCTGAGCGGGCCAACCGGACTTTACTTGAGATGGTCCGTTCCATGCTCCATGATGCACACATGGACAAAGGCTGGTGGGGTGAAGCCGCTCTTACTGCTGCCTATCTTCGTAATCATGCCATTAGTCGGGGTGGTTCAACTTCTAAGACTCCCATGGAACTATGGACCGGTGCACGTCCGGATGTATCACACCTCCGCATCTTCGGTTCACCCGTCTCGGTCCTCATTCCTTCCCAACGGCGTTCTAAGCTCGACGACCGAAGCACGGCCGGCATCATGGTTGGATATGGTCATCTCGACGGCACCAAAGCTTACCGCATCTATATCCCATCTCAGCACCGTGTCATCCTTTCTCGTGATGTCATCTTCATGGAGCCCTCTGCACCGCCTTCCGACGACTCTCGCGACCCTCCATCGTCATCTCCACCCACATCCTCCTCACTACCTCCTCCTACACACCCTTCTTCCTTGGACCCAATCTCCCCTCCCTCTCCTTCCCCCACCATACCTTCCTCCACCAACCCCCACCCACAATCCCCAAACCTGCCCGCACCAGCCACATCTTCTCCTCCTCCATTGTTTTCCAACCTTCCTCTGCCCTCGACGCCGCAAGACTTTCACCTTCCATCCTTCTCTCCTCCCTCTTCGCCTCCCCCTCCCCATTGCACGACTCGCTCCTCCCCGCCATCCCCTTCAGCTCTTCCCGATCCTTCCCTTTTCTCCTTCCTCAAGGTCTTACCATCCCCTTCCGAACCCATTGACTTCACTCTTCCTCCTCTTTCCAACACCTCTGCCAATGCTGCCCTTCACCATCATTACGAACCTCAAACCATTCATGAGGCTCGTACCGGCCCTGATGCTGCCGAATGGATCAAGGCTGCTGATGCGGAACTCGCTGCCCTGCACGCTAATGACACCTACAGCATTGTTCCTCGACCACCCAAGTGCAAGCCGATTCCATGCAAATGGATTTTCAAGGTCAAGGAGAACGCTGATGGTTCTATTGAACGCCGCAAAGCCCGCCTTGTTGTCAAAGGCTTCAAGCAACGTGATGGTGTTGATTTTCATGACACCTTTGCTCCTACCGTCCGCTTCGCCACCCTCCGCTTGTTTCTCACCATAGCTGCCGCTTTCAACCTGGACGTCCATCAGCTGGACATCTCCAACGCCTTCCTCAACGGCACCCTTGATGAGATTCTCTACATGATGCAGCCTCCCGGTTATGACCTTCCGGCGGTCCATGGTGTTGAGCAAGTTTGTCTCTTGCACAAACCGCTGTACGGGTTGAAGCAAGCTCCGCGATGCTGGTACCGCAAGCTTCGTGAGGAGCTTGCTGCCTTTCACCTCTTTGCTGCTCGTGCGGACCCCGGCCTCTTCATTGCTCCTCCTCACTCACCTTATCGGCCTACAGCTGCATCCTTCTTCATGCTTCTCGTCTATGTTGACGACCTCATCATTCTCTCCTCCTCCTCCTCTCTTCTTGCCTCATTCAAGCATGCCCTTTCATCTCGCTTCAAACTTCGTGACCTCGGACCTCTCTCCTACTACCTTGGCTTTCACATCACTCGTGATCGAACTTCCCGCACTCTCCACCTTCATCAATCCAAATTCATCACCTCCATTCTAGACACCTACTCCTTCTCTCCACTGAACCCCGCTGCCACTCCCATGGACAAAAAGTTTCAGCCACCCGTGACTTCCTCCCCGCACTCCTCCTCCTTCCCTTACACCTCGTTTGTCGGCTCCATCATGTATGCCATGGTGGGGACCCGTCCCGACCTCGCATATAGCGCTGGAGTTCTTGCTCGTCACCTTCACGATTGGTCTACTCCTCACGTCTCGGCTGCCAAACGCATTGCTCGCTACTTGAAAGGGACTACCTCCCTTGGGCTTCTCCTTGGTGGCATTCCCGACACCCTCGAACTTCATGGCTGGTGTGACGCCTCTTGGGGACCGGAGGGGGAGCTGCGTCGCTCCGTTACGTGCTACTTGTTCTTCCTCGGTCCGTCACTCATCTCTTGGCAGTCCAAACGCCAAGCCGTCGTTGCTACCTCTTCATGTGAAGCTGAATATTACTCTCTGGGCGCCGCGGTGCACGAGGCATTATGGCTTCGTTCGCTCCTTACTGCAGTTGGACTTCCCCCTACCGGCCCCACCCGTATCTCGTGTGACAACAACAGTGCCATCATTCTCGCCAAGGACGATGGCGTCTTTCATCCCAAGGCCAAGCACATCGACATCAAGCACCATTTCATTCGCGATCATGTTGCCGACCACTCCATCACCCTTCACTATAATCCTACTCAAGACAACCTCGCTGACATTGGGACCAAGCCTTTGCCCCGTGACCCTTTTCTTCGCATCCGTGGTCTTCTCGGTCTCACCCATGTTTCCTCTTGAGGCACCCTACCCCGGGGACATCCTTGAGGGGGGGTGTTGTGGAAGCAAGAATGTCCCAGTGGGTACCTTTGGTCTTAGTGGTCGCGGGTTCAACTCTCATCGGCAGCACCTTCTCTTCTCATTATGCCGAACATGACACTCCCACACTCCACCACACTCACCCACAGTGAAGTGTGGTCACAGTTGGCATTGCCATCTGTCCACCCATCCCATACTCACCTTGTTGGCTCCTATGGTGTGCCACATGCTGCCATGTAGGCTGTTGTTCCAGCCTGGCCCACATGTGCAACATGTGGCCTCAATTGCTAGCTTGGCAAGGTTGGCTAGCCCTGCCCTCAGCTTTGAGGTGCTGCAGCTAGCCTCAAGAGTTCAGCCACATAAATGTGGCTTCCCACTTCTCTAGAACTTATCCTTGGAAAGGACATTGCTCTAGCCTTTCAGGCTTGTACCATCTTCCTACTAAGGATATATTGTTCTTCTCTCATTGTGCCTCAAGTTCACCGATCCTCATTCTACAAGAACCATCGGCGTCAAGACGGAGTGGGGTGATGGAGTTGTCCATGGTGGACGAGGCGAATGCCATGATGGAGACCCCTTAGGGTGTCGCGCGGAGCGCCGCTCTTGAGTCAACGATAGGAACTTGAGGTTTGGGGTTTCCGAAGGAGATTTTGAAGAACCGGAGGTTTAGGGTTTACGAAAGAGAATTTTGAGGTTTAGGGTTTCTGAAGGAGAAATCGACTGAAACGCCAATTTAGTGTCAACTACCTACTAATCCTATTCCCACACACCCCCCCACACACCACCCTCAGCTTCTCAAAAGATGTTGCTCGGCTTCGCGGCTTACACGGCTGCTCGGCTTCGCGGCTACGCTGCTGCTCGGCTGTGCTGCTGCACCTGTTCAGCTGCGGGAAAGGGAGGGGGATGGGGGTAGGAGTGCAGATGCGGAGCGACGGGCGGCAGCCCGAAGGTGAAGCTGCAGGGCGACGGGCGGCAGCCCGACGAGAAGCTGCAGGGCGACGGGCGGCGGCCCGACGAGAAGCTGCAGGGCGACGGGCGACAGCCCGACGAGGAGAAGGAATGACGCGATGATGTTCGATGAAAACGAGCGATAGGTTAAAACGCCGACGATGCGCTTACCAGTGAGATAGTAGATGCCGTCGAGAGTGACGGGAAAGTGGTGCGGAAGAATTTCCGCCCACGAATGTCGCAAATCAACGGCGACGAGATTGAAGGCGGTTACGCCGAGGTTTGCGGGACGAACATCCGCAGAGATAAGAGGATCACGATCCGCGTGTGCGGTTTGAAAGGCTCTGATACCATCTTAGATTTTAGGCTTGAAGCTCTTTAAATACATCCAAGAAGGGGAGGGAATGGATGGGGAAGGGAATCGGGAGCAATCCTAGGGATTAGGGGTAATCCCAAGGCAATCTCCAATTGGTGGGTTGGAGATTGCTTGGAGATTACATTTGGGTTTGGTTGGGATGTAGGTGTACACCCAACCAAACACAATGTGCAAACTACACTACTCTAGGATATAGAAAATACAAAGTACAAAGTGTGAGATTGAAGGCTAACACTAACAACTCTCTCTCCCTTGTCTCTACCTCCCTCTCCCTTGTTTGTAGCTCCCTCTCCCTTGTCGGTACCTGCGTCACCCTATCCCCCACCTGCCTCTTCCTATCCACTGATTGCCTCTCCCTATCCCCTACCTGCCTCTCCCTATCCCCTACCTGCCTCTCTCTATCCACTATTCACCTCTCCTTCTCCTCTCCCTCGCTCTTCACCTCCTGCCGCCGCTTCCGCTTGCCCTCTCACCAGCACTGCTGAGCAGCAAGGCAGATCGCAGGCATAGGGAGGGCGACTGACGGGTGAGGCGAAGGCGAATCTTCTGGGCAGGGACCCAAACAAGTCACGTGATATAAGTGTAGTTTTGTGACGTCTCAAAAGACCCAAACTAGCCCCCTGGTGCTTCAACCCCCCTTCTTCCTCCCCTTCTCCTTCCTCTCTCACCAGCGTTAATGAGCAGCACGGCAGCAGCGCAGGCATGTCTTGAGTATCCCCTGCAGCATGTGGTGAGGGCCACCAACTGGTGGAGCGAGGATAATCTGCTGGGCAGGGGTGCGTTTGGGGACGTGTACCGTGCGGTGTCTCCCGCTGATGGCGCCACCCTGTGCGCTGTGAAGCGCGCCAAGCTTATTACTAACGACTTTGACACTGAGGTATGCGTGGTGTGGTGAGATATGGTGTGGTGCGGTGTGGTGCAGTGTGGAGTGGTGTGGTTTGGAGTCTTTTGAGGTGAATCTGCTGGGCGGGGTGCGTTTGGGGATGTGTACCGCGCTGTGCCTCCCTCTGATTGCACCACTTTGTGGGCTGTGAAGCGCGCCAAGCTCATTGCTAACGACTTTGATACTGAGGTATGCGTGGTGTGGTGTAGTGTGGTAGGCGAATGTGCTGGGTAGGGAGTGGGTGTGTGAAGCAGTGCTCAGGGACGCACGCGCGTATGTGTGTATGTGCGTGCATATTGCGACATCTAGCTAGACAACATCGTCCCATGAGGTTGTTGAGGCAAGTACCACTGGCGGGACAGGTTCACTAAATGAAGCAAGGCATCATGCAACTGTAGACAGCGGACACACCATCAACACCCCCAACTCAGGGGCTGCCTCCATGGGGAAGCCAAAGGCCCGGGGAAGAGTAAATAAGGCGGGCACGGGGAAAGGGACGGCTACTCGGCAAGGATCCAAGAAAGCCGCCCGTCCATCCAGCGTAACACGGATGCGGCAGCTGGTACAATGTCGAGTGGTGCCTGCAAAGCGGCAAGCACGAGCCGCCTCAGCGCTGCGGGACCAGGCCCCAAAGCAGACCCGGGAGAGCCGGGCACAAACCCGATCTCGGGCAGCATCTGCAAAATCTGCACCGCCGATGCCACAGCCACCGTCTGTTCCTGCCCTGACAGCATCGGGGGAAGAGCCCCAGGACGACGCGTCCGGCGCTGATAAGCGCCAAGTTGGTCCAGCACATCCGCAACCAGTGTCAGGCACGTCCCCACGTTCGACACGCGCTGCTCGACGGGAGAGCCCTTTCAGCAGGAGGGGACTCGTCCCATAAGCTCCAGCGGTGCTGGGGGGTGCCAGGGGGGGGAGCCTCCAGTGCATCCGGCGGTAGCGACTCCCACGGGTAGGCCCCGTGCTGCGGAATGCCCGACGTTGCAGCCCCACCGTGCGACTGAGACGAGACAAGATCTGGGTCGGCAGGGGCGGGTGATGGAGAGGCAAGAGGATGTGGTAGCTGAGGTGGAGCCGGCGGCGGCCCAACCGGTGGGGATGGGCTCGGCGGCGGATGTGGCGCCTCCGGACGCGACCCGTGGTGAGGAGCTGGGTTTGGCTGACGCTGAGGCCGACGCTGAGATCGGCGCTGGGTGCGCCGAAACGCCTGCTGTTGACGAGGCCTTAGAGAGGCCCGAGCGCGACCTGGAGGAGTCTGGAACGTCGGCACATGAGACCCACGGCGACGGGAATGATACTCGCGGAGCGGGTGCGCGGATCCGCGCCCGACCAGCACCGACGCGGCTTGGATCAGGGCGGGCGCCTGGTCGCCCGGGACCCCTCCGGGGCTGGCTTGTGCCAGCGCCGCCGCGACCAGAGCAAGCGCATCGACCGACATTGGCGCCGCGACCTGCCGCACAAGAGAATGGAGGGGCAGCTACAGAAGAAGGTTCCGCGGTACGGAATACAACAACGCAAGAGGCGTCGGCGGCGGAAGGGGGACAGCAGCCTCATCACAATGCCCAGGTTCCGACACGACGGGAGACGAGGAGCTCAACGCGTGCACAGGGCATTACCTGGGGACAGCCCCGAGGCCCACCCCACGTACCGTTTAACGGCCCGTGGATCCCGGAGGGAAGAGCGCCACAGGCGGCACAGGGAGGGGGACGATCCGCGGGTCGAGCAGCCCGAGGCGGGGGACGAGGAGCGCGAGGGGACCAGGGAGATCGCGGTGCTGTGGCCGGGGGGAGGGGCGGACGTGGGACCACCGGAAGGGCAAGAGCCCTGCTGCTAGGAGGAGAGGCGGCGATCGAGAGAACGGGCACGTGGCGGGAGCGACACGACCGCCCTGAACGGACACTGGAGCCAGCCAATGGGGGTGAAGCTGCTTCTGACACCTCACCGAATGGGAGTGAATTTATTCCGTCCGGCTCAGATGCATCGGAAGGAATCTCCCTGGGCGAAGAGGAGGAGTTTCGCCACGATGGAGGCAGGGGACGGGGGAGACGGATAGGAGCCGGTGGTATACCACAAGCCGCCAACGCAAGAGCTGGGCCGGCGGAGGGAGAGGTGACACAGCCATCTGAAAAATCCCCTGCTGATCTGGCAAACGACGAGAGCATCTGGCAGCTGGCCAGTACCTGGGACGTGGCGCCACTGGTGCGTGTGGACCAGCCCTTCCTGGTGCGCCGAATGCCCCCTAAGGTCCTGGAGGGCTACACGATGTGCCTCCTGGCGCCCCTTCTGCGTCTGGCGAAGCACCCCGACTGCAAAGGAGCATGGACGGTGCTACAGTTCCTGCCACGTTTGACCCTTCGGCCCCAACCAGAGCCAGTGGAAGGCAACCGATGGATCAAAATTGAGACACGGCTACACCACTTCAGGCTTGGAGGCCTTGCAGACCTCTACAGTGAGGCCTGCGCTGTACCCGTTACGGAAGCCCCGACACGCCACCAGCCTGATGACGCTGGGCTCTGTGCAAGGGCCGAGGGGTTGATTAAAAAAGCAAACATTTCCAAGGCCGTGGCTGCGCTACAAGTGACCCCGTTAGCGGAATCTACACCGACCACACTTGTGGCACCAAGGTCGAAACACCCCATGGGCGAGAAACCTATCCCAAGCTGGGTTACCAGCAGGACGGGCTCATCAATTTCGTCGGTATCTGTGACCCCTGACGATGTCCGCGAAGTCCTCGCAAAATGTCCAAATGGAGTGGGTGCTGGGCCTTCTGGTACTTGCTTCGAACATCTCAAGGACCCCGCTCACTGCAGCGAGGAGGCCCTGTTGCTCCTCACGAAAATTGTCCGCCAGTTGCTCAACAGCGAACAAACGCAGGCTGTTTGTGACCTAATCCTGCCGTCCCGGTTGATAGCCTTGGAAAAGCCAGGAGGCGGCGTCAAACCGATAGCGATTGGGGAAGCATTGCTTAGGGTGGCCGCTAAGGCAGCACTGCGGGAACTGGCGCCGGCGATACGGGAGTTCTTTCTCCCCGTCCAGTATGGTGTCTCCGTGCCTGGTGGGGCAGAGTGCGTCATACACATAGTGCGCGCCCTGCTCCGTGAAAATGAGCACCATGTAGCACTACAGCTCGACGTCGAGAACGCTTTCAACTCGGTCGAGCGTGAGGCCTTCTTCTCAGCGCTCCAGATCTCTGACCTGCATCAGCTTTTGCCGCTCGTGGGGACGCTCTACGACTCGCCCTCGCGACTCTTAGTCGACCCAGCGCTCGGCGTGGATCATATCATGAGTTCCAGAGGTGTCAGCCAAGGCGATCCCCTCGGTCCCCTCCTCTTTGCGGCGGCGATTCAACCGATTCTGACGTATGCGGCATCAACTCACCCGGGAGCGGCAGTCATAGCCTACGCTGACGACATCACCGTGGTGGGGCCGCGCGAGGTGGCCTTCCAGGCTTTCGACGTCATCGTCACGGAGCTAGCGAAGTGCGGGCTCCGTTGCAACATCGTGAAATCTTCGGCGTGGGGACCGGAGGGGCACGGGGAGGGACTGGAGGAACCACCGCACGGCCTGACAGTGAGCCCAGACAGCATCAAAGTACTTGGCAGCCCGATCGGCACCCCAGCCTACTGTACCGCTCAAGTCCAACAGGCGTTAACCAAGGCAGCGGCTCCGGTACCACTGATTGCACAACTTCACCCCCAGCACGCTCTGCTCCTGCTCAGTCGCTGCATCTCACGCAGGATCTCATACCTGCTCCGCACAACCCCGAGTTGTACACTTGAGCGGGAGGAATGGAGGGCGTGGAGCGAGTCACTGCTGGGGGCGGCGCTCGCTTCGGCCAAGCTCAGAATCCCCTCAAGCGAACTCGAGCAGAGCCTCCTGTGGCGGCAGGCGACACTTCCCATACGCCTTGGCGGCCTGAGCATCATTGACCCAATCTCTGAGGCCCCGGCAGCTTACATTGCTTCGCTGACGGCTGCCCATCAACTGCTGAAGCAGATGCACCTGCCCGATTCGGACCTCCTCGCCCACGCGGAGACCATACTCTCCAGGGAATGGGCTCCTCCCCCGCCAGCGGTGAACGTGATTGCGGCGCTGGAAGAGGGACTGCCGTTGGAGGCGAAAACGGCTCTGCAAAGCTACAAGGAAGGGCCACAGGGGCAAGGGAACTTGCAGCTGCTACTCTCCAAGCACATCAACACGGTTAGGGCAAGAGAGCTGCTAGCAGACACGATAATGGATCGGCCGGGAGAGGATCAAGGGCATGGGGTCAGGCTAGTCAGTTTGAGGGGAGTGGGGGCGGGGGACTGGCTTCACGCGGTGCCAACGAGATCTGACCTTACATTTGCCCCTAGTCAGTTCTCATTAGCACTCGGGTTCCGCCTCGGTATGGCTATGCCAGTTACAGTCAAGTGCCCCTGCAAGAATGACAACTCCGACATCGACGACACTAGCCTAGCTAACCACCTGCTACGGTGTGGAGAGGGAGGGGATGTGGTACGGACACACAACGCTTTGGTTTATGCAGCCCTGCGAATGGCACGGGAGGCGGGGTTCAACACTTTCCACGAGACCGCGGCTTTCTCACCCCCTGTCCTCCGCAAGCGCGCGGACTTGGCCTTCCAGTACCGGGAATCTGCAGAAACCTGGGTCACCGACGTCACAGTAACGGACCCGGTGCTTCAGAAGCGGGACCCAAGGGTCCGGAAGCCGCCAGGGTGGGCAGCCAAAGAGGCTTCTGAGAGGAAACACCGCCTCTACGAGAGCCGCCCGGACTACGTGGGGTTCCTGGGGCTGGCAGTTGAAACGTATGGGGCACTGGCGGCAGACACGGTCCAGTTCCTCCGTCTGCTGGCCGTGGCAACTGCTAAGAAAAAGTTCAGACAGGGGCCGCTCACTACCACAGCATCCAGGCTCAACGCACATTATCGGCAGCGCTGGTGGGTGATGCTGCAACGCTCCCAGGCCATCTCCTTCCTCAACAAATCGAACATGGCAGCGGAAGCGGCGTACCCTCAAGCACCCATGGATCCCTAGGAGCCTAGCCTCGGGGACCTCTGGCAGGTGCTTGACGACAACTTGGCAGGAGTGTAGAGGCCGGGGAGCGGGAGCAGTGGTGGCAGAGGCGGGTAGCCAGGTTCGGGAGGAAAGGGGGTCTGTTGGATGAGGGTGCTGGCACAGGGAGCTCTCGGGCGTGGGTTATGCTAGCTTAGGACGGCCTGTGCCTTATGTTTGCTAGTGTGCTTGTCTTGCCTACCCATTTGCTAGCATGCCTAGAACAGTCAACTGGCTGTGTCCCGTCCCTGCATGTCTGTACCTTATAAGCAACATAAATGCATGACCGCTTGAGAGAGAGAGAGAGGGAGAGAGAGAGAGAGAGAGAGAGAGAGAGAGAGAGAGAGAGAGAGAGAGAGAGAGAGAGAGAGAGAGAGGACGAGACGACCGCGGCGCCGCAAGCGGGGCGCGAGGGAGTCGCGGTAGCAAGAGCAACGCGCGGAATTCGCGTCGGACGCGGCAGTCGCCGCGGACGAAGGGGTAGCGAGCGTGGATGGAGAGGCGGCGGTGCGCGGGGCACGAACAGACGCCGCACAGGAGCCAGCGGCTTCGCGAGAAACGCGGAGAGGCTGATACGACAGAGCGCAAGAGGCGGCGAGGAAGAACTTCGCGAGGAGACAGAGGAGGCTGCGGAGAATGAGGGAAGTGACGAGGGTGACCCCTTATTTAACCCTGAAAGAGAGGGGTTGTTAGGGGCAGAAGTCGAGGAGGATGAAGAGGAGTTGGATCGCCTACTCCAGGGAGAGGAGGTCCCCAGCCCACGTGCCCGAGGCGATCCTGCCAACCGAACCACATCCGAAGGTGGGGGGCAAAATCCAAACCCGGGCCGAGCCGCATCTGCAACTCCAACCCCCAGAAATCGGACCGCGAGACCAAACCGAACCGCCCCCAACATTGCGGTTACCACCGCCCCAGCCAGTAACACGGGCCCAACGCCTGCCACCCCCGCCCCAATCATCAGCGCTGACATCCTGGCAGGTCGTCAAGACCTTTTCGCTGACATCGCCAACTGGGACCTCGGCCCGCTGCGCGACAGCAGACAGCCACCCCTTGCCCGCCACCCACCTCGCCCACTTCGCGAATCCTTCGCCATCTGCCTGCTGACCCCACTTCTGCACCTCGCCAAAACCCCTGATTCCACATCTGGCTGGAAGCTGCTGATGTTTCTCCCGCGAATTCTCCTGCGCTCGTCATCTGCACGAAAACCAGACTGGAAGGCAATGGGCGACAGACTGACGAGATTTCGCCAAGGGCAGTGGCGCGGCCTTTACGACGAGGCGGCAGAAGCAGTGAACAACAACCCCCAACCACGCCACGTACCTGACACCACGGGAAAGCTGGCGAGAGCCGAGGGATTGGCGAAAAGGGGAAACCTAGCGAAGTCCCTCCAGTCGCTAACTGCCACGCCCGTCTGCTCGCCAACCCCTGACGTTTTGAGTGCGCTCACGGCCAGGCACCCAAGGGCCACCGCGGCTATCCCAGACTGGGTGCAAGACTTTGCCCCTGAGACTCTGCCCTCAATCACAGCTCGCGATTTCAGGAAGCTGCTTGCCCGGTGCCCCAACGGCGTAGGGGCTGGGCCATCAGGGACTACCTTCGAGCACCTGAGGGATGCGGCCCTTGGGAACGCCGACGTCCTCTTGCAACTGCACGCGCTTACCAACACGGCGCTAGCGGGTAAACTGAACGCTGAGGCTGCAGATCTACTCACCGCTTCGCGTCTGCTCGCCTTCACGAAACCCCAAGGCGGAACTAGGCCAATAGCCGTGGGTGAATGTCTGC